AAGAGCAGAGCTGAGGCATCCCTGAAGTAGAAGCAGCTCTACCTGCAGATTGCAGCTTTAGCATGTGCCTAAGAATTCCAGGTTGCCCTTTCTAACATCATGTCCAACAGATTTTGGACTTGCTTTATCAGACCTGACAACTACATGAACACACTTCTTACAATATATTTAGTATTTCACACCTCTTACTGTGAGTCCTAACTGATACAAATTTTGGTGAGGCGAGAGGAACAGAATCTGAAGGATGAATTTTCTGAATTGGTTCTGGGTTTTCTGAAATTGATTCTCTAGTTGATAGATTTAAAGTTACCAATGACTCTATTGCTCTTAGTAAAGACAGCACTGATGGTCCATGGTTTGATGTGGCAACAGAGGTATGCAAAATATTACCACTGAATACTCCCAATCAAATACCTGTAGAAGGTGAGGTTCTGGGTAACCATGTATTTGCTATGTTAGGATATTTTAGTCAAACTAATTAGTATAATGGGATTGACTGGTTGTCCTACCTGTGCTAGAACAAATGGAAAAAAAATAAGAATGAATTCTAGGCTTGAAATTCCCAGCATGAGCCCTGCATAAATCACTTTAAAGCTTCAACATCTTCCCTGAAAAAACTCTTGTCTACCCTAGTTTCAGGGCTATGCTTTCTGAGAACCAAACCCAGAGTTGCATATTGTGGTTGACTAAATTAAATGCAAATTGAATTCCCTCCCAGGGTGCTATTAAACTGAGGGCATTTATTGGGAAGGAATGAGTTCCTTAAAATTAGAATGGGGTCATATAGGAAGCTCCTGATAAAGCTGGGGAATATTGAACCCCTAAATTCTGACAAGTCTTTTTTTTCCCCCCAGGAAAAGCAGTTCTTTCATCTTTGCCTAAAAAAACCACAATGGCCTCCCTGAAGCAGTTGTCTGACAAGGCCCTACTTACTCTCCGAAGGAAGTACTGTTTAATATCGCTTTTGGATTCTAAACCTATCATTGGATTCAGTTCACAGAAGGCCCCAAAAGTTGAGGTAGAGATTTTAACCCAAGAGGAGGTTCACTATACACTGAAAGAACTGTATTATTATTCTTTTTGGGTCCAATTTATAGCAACAGAAATAGTGGTAATGTGTGTGAGAATGGATCTTAAAGGTTTGGGATAATTGTGGAAGAATATGTTGTTGGAGCAGGATAATTTTATTTATGTGGGGTCAAGTATGAGAGATTCTGGATTCAAGTTTTAGTTTCAGGGGATGGAATAGGCTTTAACCATTTGGTCCATTGACTGAAATGTGGACTAGAGAACAGCTTATGCTAAAGCAGTGATCGGCAAACTCATTAGTCAACAGAGCCAAATATCAATAGTACAACGATTGAAATTTCTTTTGAGAGCCAAATTTTTTAAACTTAAACTATATAGATAGGTACATTGTTATTAACTTAATTAGGGTACTCCTAAGGCTTAGGAAGAGCCACACTCAAGGGGCCAAAGAGCCGCATGGGGCTCGCGAGCCGCAGTTTGCCGACCACGGCTCTAAAGGATAGGCCATGTTCTGTCTTCTCATGGTCCAAGTCTCACCTTCTCCTTGGTCTGCAGGAATAGAGGGAGTTTACATGGCCTTTTCCCAAAGAAGGGCTGGTAAGGGCAGACTCTCTCTCTCCAAGCTCTGGAAGCTGCTTCTCCCTCACGTCTTGGCTGCCTCCAGGCCTCTGAGTTTTGCCCTTGGAGCTCTAGATCTGCCTCAGGAGGTACCTTGCCACCGGGGCAGCTGATAGCTGTCCTCCAGCTGGGACTGCTGATGGGACTGTCATTTCTCAAACTTTAGGAGAATGCTTTTAAAGATGCATTTACAGTTTTCCAGAGTTGCTCTATTAGAGAAATGACAGAGGAAAGAAGCTAAAATGTATTGTATTCTTACTGTGTGTCAGATGCTGTGCAGTGTATTCCTGTGAACATTTTTGCATTCAATTCTCAAAATAACTCAGTGGGGTGTTATTATACCCACTTTATAGATGAAGAAAGGCTCACAAGTTTAAGTTACTTGTCGAGTCAGCTCCTTCAAATGTAGTTTTTCTTCTTCCTGAAGTCCATACACCTTTTGATAAAATATGCTGCCTACTCAGGATAATAGAAGCCAGCTCCTTGCCTCTTTCTCTTTAGTTCAAATCATAGGAACTAAGGGCAGACATCTGAGGGTGTTTAGATGTAGAACCAATAACTTCCTTTTAGCAAAGCTCAACTGCTGGCGTGGAAGGCTTTCACTCAGACCCCAAAGCACAGGCCACTTGGTCATATATTTAAATGAATCACAGCCCTGAATATCTTCTACCTCCCAAAGTGAATGCATAAATCCTAAGAAAGATCCAAGTTTCACTTATTTTTCAGAGGAAGAATGTTCCTTGCCTTCAGTAATATTCTTTTTTTCATGAACTGTTAAATTGCACATAAAAGCCTTTCTGTGAAATGCTTTGCAGCGGGCATAATTTATTTTGATTTTTACTTCTTTTTACAGCACTATTTTTAATAGAACCAACTGGGGGAGGTGGATAGTAGAATATGTTAGCACGCAAGCACACTATTTTGTCTAAATCACACTATTTCCTAGTGACTTAGTTATATTTTAGATAGATTAAATCTAAGAAATCCCTTAATAATAGAATAGAGATACAGAAATGTGAACTATAGTAATCATCAGGCTGGCATGAGTTAACTAATCTTCATTAAGAGATAATATTTAAGCAACCAAACAATTGTGTCCCTAGCAAAAGAGACACTAAAATTTATTTTAACACCATCATTCCAAATACATCACCATTAAAAACTAAAATAGCCTATGTAATATAGATTTTTTTTCATTAGAATATGGCTTAGATTCTCTGGCTTTGAAATTACCATATTCATATGTGAAATTAGGTTTACTTAAGTTTGAAGTAGTTGAGTATCATTCTGTGGCCTAATATCAATAGTTATAACTTGGTACAGTTTTCAGTTTAACAAAATATTTAACCTTCTAGATGAGGCCTAGAGAAATAAGCACAGTCTTCTGCTAGTACTGCAACACTTCCCATTGCATCTTTCATGTATGATCCACCAACACCTGCATCCGTATTTCCCATGATGATACACTTACTACTTTCACAGACAAAATATTTTATCACTGGGAAGCTCAAATTGTTAAGACACTTATTTTTTGAGACAAAATATGTTACCTACGTAGACATAGGTTTGAATACTCACTCTACTAATTACTAACAATGGGACCTTGGGGAATTTATTTCATCAACCCACACCTCACTTCTTCATACAAAAAGCAGCTATAACAAATAATATCTACTGCCCGGGTCCAGCCCCAGCGGGCCAGAGGTTCCCAAAGGTGTGGACGGAGTCGGCGAAGAATGAAGGACATGGAGACAGTGTTCAGATGATCAGCATAGCTTTCTTTAGTCTTCGTGGATCTTCCTGTGCCTGGCTGAGGCCACAGAGAAAGATCCAGAGGCAAGCTGAGTCTTTATTTTATAGTCAGAGGTAAACAAGGTAGTGGTTACCACTGTTCTTGTGAGTTTCACTTGTTTTGGCAGCACTTCATGCACCTCCCTCAGCCCATTAGCTTCCCAGATAAGATCTAGGGAGCGTTATAAGGTCAAGCCTAATTATGCTAAGAGGACTGTGCCCTCTAAGCTGGGACTTGTTTGT